CCCGAACACGATGCTACACAGGCCCCAAAGACCTATTTGAGGCTATTTATGGTGGCCAATGGGACAAAAACAATGATTCGCACGACTGTACTTGAGCAGGGTCTGTTCCTTGGGTAGTGTACATCCTCTGTATCTACAAAAACAGCAAGCCAAAAACAAAAAAAAAACAGAAAAAAAACAAAAAAAAACATTGATTATTGCTAGTGCGCGGACATCAGCAGGGGCGCACTGCACCGCACGGCTGTGTGGCTCGTGCGGTTGCACGTACGTTTCAAAATTCAAATGCATGCGCGAACCAACATGCCAGTTATGTGGAGAGTTTTGTGGGCATGCCATCCTGATTCCTGACAACTGCTGTGGTGGTAATGCTCATCTGGGCCTTCCATTTCATCAACCATCCCATCCCAAATAGGTGTGTCCTCTCGGTAGCCAAGTACATACTCCTTGGGGCATAGTACTCACACTAGGACTTTTCTACTAAGCTCTGGATGTGATTGTGGTCAGATTCATCCAGGCCTGGCCGTAATTGCAGTCAGATACATCTAGAAAAGTCCTAGTGTGAGTATGCCCTAACTGCTTTTTGTCCTTACGTAATATGGTGCCATCTCGGCTCCGCAATCCTTACTTTCCCTTTATCTTTCTCGGCCTCCCATATTTTTCATGCTCTGCCGCGTGCAAGTGGGCCGGCATCATCATAGACGGGGGTGAAGGCAGTGCACTCTATTCTACTATGTCCACACAGTGAGCCTAACACCTAATTGGCACAGTAAAGGGAGACATGAAAGAAGAAATAAAAGAGAAGCGATGAAGAGAGGCCAAATTTAATGAAAGCAAAGAAAGAAGCTCACAGAAAAACGCAAAAGAAGTTACGGTTTGGGTATGCTCTTATATGCTGTCTGCTCTTCTCTTTGTTTGTTTCCCACAATGCTCTCCCTTTGTGGATATATATATAGCTAGCAGCGTAGGTATGATTGGCAATAATTCATAGACAAATAGTTAAGATTAAATATAAATTAAGAACTTCAAATATTCAAAAATATAATTAATATTGTAACTTGTAATTGAATTATTTTGATGCCCCACAGCCATATCAACTGATTGGATATTTATTATTATTATTATTATTATTATTATTTAGCGTATTTCCTTCACATCATGTGGTCCGACGGACGACGAATCAGATATTGAACTGATCAGAACAGATACATTTCACTTGACCTTTGATGCTCCGCACTTGCTTGTCCATTTTTTGTTTGTTGTTGCAGGAATACGTCTAAATTAAATCTTCCTGCCCTGCTGGTCGGTCGTTTAGAATATCTCATCGTGACTTTTTTATAAATTGTATCGTCTTCCGCTCTTTGCTATAATTGTCTTCTTTTCTTTCGTTTTTCCTTTTTTTTTTTAACAACCTGCTCCGGTATTGTCTTCTACTCTCAAACACCAGGGACATGTGATTAAAACGAAGAGTGTGGAGTACATGCCATTCCTTCTTTCAGTGAATGGCCTGGTCAACACAATTGTCTGGACGGCCTACGGAATTTATGTCCTGGAGGTCTTCATTCTTGTAGGTTATCATCTTTTCTCTTCACATTCTCCTATGTTTGGTACTGTTGGGAGAATAACATAATATGTGTCTGTGTATGTGTCTGTGTATGTGCAATGCCCATTTTGGCATGAACTCTGAGTCTGCTTGTGGTGGTCCAGGAGTGGTGACTCGTGAGGTCATCGTGCAGGGGCAAAGCGCGTTTGAAACTCAAGGGACAACTGCACGGCGCGGCGCACTGTGCGAAAGCAAGCCACACTCAAATAGACACCCACAAAAACAGTTGTCTTCTCAATCACAAGTCTTAGAGCGATTTCATAACCGTTTGCGAAGAAGAAGAAGAAGAAGAAGAAGAAGAAGAAGAAGAAGAAGAAGAAGAAGAGGAAGAAGAAGAAGAAGAAGAAGAAGAAGAAGAAGAAGAAGAAGAAGAAGAAGAAGAAGAAGAAAGGAAAGGTCGAGCATGTAATCATCCATTATCATTGCATTCCAAGCGCGAACCCAAATCACTGAGTGAAACGAAATCGCTCTCAATCAGGTATGAAACCTGTAACCTGCTGATCATAGAAGAAGAAGAAAGGTAGAGCATGTACTCATCCATTATCACTGCATTCCAAGTGCCAACCCAAATGGATGAATTAAAAGAAATCGCTGCGTCCATGAATAGAGCCTGCAACCTGCTGATCATAAACCAGAACACCTACCACCAGGCAAAAGTGAAATGTGGAGGCGTGGAATCATCCCCAAAAGGCAGCTCTTCATAGTTTGGAAATAAAGGGAGTGATGAGAAACACAGGAAAAGCTCTGGGTCTGCTGGGTGAATAACATAATATGTGCAATGAAGATTGTGGCATTAACTCCAAGTCTGCTTGTGCTTTTTGTTGTACAGTGTTTTCCGAAGCTTGCGGAAAGTAAATTCATCAAAATGCATCCTTGATTATTCCAATTCTTCGAGAAACTGTATACGTCTCAGTATTTACCAAAGTGTAAATTGGTGGAATACTTTCAATTAGTAGAGAGGTAGGAAAACATGAACCGTGTCCATAATCATGGTCGTGTTCAACAAGAGGATAACTGTTTTTTTTTTTCTTTTTTTTTAATAGTGGGAAAGGAAAAAGAAAGATCATTAACATTCTTAAGAGTGAAAATAGCGGGCTTAAGCCACGACTACCTCCGAGCCTCTATTGCCGAGCTGGAGCAGAACTTTGTGCCAAGCTTTGTCGAAGCGCCAGCTTGGAGAGTAGTGCAGCAACGCCCATAGGTTACATTCACAACTAGCCTTCCACTCTGAAAGGTAGTAGAGGTTTACGAAAAAGGGAAGAAGGGAAAACAGCTCAAAACACGGAAAAAAAAAACAAAAATGACAAAAAAAAAAGAACGAGGTGGAAGGTGCAAAAAGCGGTCCCCATGTTTTTTTAACTCTCTCTCTTTTTTTTTTTTTTTAATAAAGAAAAGGAACCATTCCATTATTGGTCGGAAAATGGGTCCGGCGTCCCTTACATTTGTGCCACAGCCATGCGAAGCTGAGCAACGCACTCCCGCCCAAGCCCTTTTTTTTTTCCCTTTTTTTTAAACACGCCCCCACCAGTTTTAGTGGTGCTGATAAGAGCAGACACCACTAGCACCTGGGGAGATGCTCCATCTATTGGTGGGGAGCATCACCTGCTGGAAAACGGGTCCAGCGTCCCATATACAGACTGAATTTGAAGTATATCAGACAAAACACAATTGTGGGAGATTCCTGCCAGCATTGATTACCCTGGGATCCAGGAGCATGGTCCCATTAGCAGTCGGATAGGAGTGTGGCCTATCCAATGTGACACTGAGTGGCAGCGGGCTGACGGGTTCATTACAAATTTCTGGGCTGACAAAACATGAGAAAGGCAAAAAATAAAAAAAGACCTGCCACCGGAAATCATGGCAGAGTGCTTCCCAGCCATCAGATCACAGATGATCTGATGGTGGTGGTTGCAACAACAGTGAACAAGCAACTGCCACTTTTTTTTCTGGAATAAACTCGACTTCTGTCAGCAGTGATCCTGACACCCTCCATATACTCCGTGACTGAAGGAGGGTTCCACCCAATGAGATAATTGCACAACAGCAAGTAAAATACTGAAAATCTTCTATCCAGTGGGCCTACGGCCGACCCCACCCTCTTTTGGGGTTGGCCACACCCCCAACCGATTGAAAAGATTCTGGCGGGAAGCTTTCTTTGCACGGGCATGCCCAGTGTTAAGGAGAGGAGGAGGGGAACAAAGATCTCCTTACGTTTTCGGGTAGTACACGTAAAATACTGACCTTGGGATCACCAGTACTGCATGGCAGGATTTGGGTCACTCAACTGTCCCACAAACTCGTTTCTATCCTATCCCGTTGCTAATGGGACCATGCTCCAGGGGATTGACTGAGCAGGATGTTGGGAAGGGGGGAACCTTTTCACCCTGGACCCGGCGCCAGATACCTACTGCTACACACTACCTTCTTAACCCGAAAAAAACGTACGTACCTTGTATACGAATACAACGTACGGGGTACGTTGTATTCGAATACAACGTACGTACATTATAGAACGAGTTTTAGGGTACAACTTTTCAGAAGGTTGTAGTACCGCCATTGTTTTTATTTTTATCTCAAATTTGGTTAGGAATTTCGCCAAGACCCTCAGGCAAAAGTTGTTTGCATTGCAATGTTGTACAACAACAACATACTCTTTTTTCGGATTTTTTACTGAAGTTTTTTTTTCATCGAAATTCTGAAAAAATCAGTAAAAAACATTTTCATCCTCGTTTTTATTTTTTATCTCGAATTTTCTCATGAATTTCGATAAGACCCTCAGGCAAACGTTGTTTGTATTGCATTGTTGTATAACATTTTTTTTTTTCCGGATTTTTTTAATAATGTTTTAAAAATCAAAGTTCCAAAAATTTGAATACAACATACATACCTTGTATTCGAATACAACGTACGTACGTTATATTCGAATGTACGGTCTATTCGGGGAAAAACAAGCAATTTCTGAAAACCCGATTTCCGATGGTAATTCGAATAGAACGTACGTACGTTTTTTTCGGGTTAAGAAGGTAGTTCCTCCCTCCCACCACCAGCCCCAAACCCAACTGTGAATTCCCTTTTTTGAGCTTGAAATACTGTGCTGACTGCTGTCAGCCCTTTTTTGCACTTGTATCTACTGTTTGGGTATTATCACTGAGATAGACCTCCTTTCCTCTGGCCACTCCTTCCACCGTTAACCGCCCTCGCACCTCTTCACCTTCCTTGTGGTGCCAGATATTGACTGTCAAGCTAGTGCCGAGTAACTTGTGTCATAAAAGTCATAAAAGTGGCTGGGTGGGTGGGGAAGGGATAACATCCGCTAGCCTCCTAAACTTCTCTTTCTCTCTCCTTGAGTTCATCCATCCTTCCCATACCACTGCATTTCTACGAGACAGTTTGATGTTGG